TTCTGTAACCGATTGTCCTATACAGAATGGCAGTGGGGTGCAACGCAGGGAACAACCCAGGATGGGGCGCCAACCCTTCGCAGGACAGGCAGACCCCCCCCCCACACCTACGGGTAATGTGGTAACTCCAGTTAACCTCTGCATGTTTTTGGACTGTAGGTGTTTCCACAGTCCACACACACGGAGCCAGATACTCGAACCATGGTTCCTGTGTGTGCATTTGGCAATTGTGCGCATTATTCTTTAATTATTATACTATTGCGTTAACTTGTATTACATATGTTTATTAAAAAATATTCATAATAATCGACGTTTCTTCTTTTTGTTATGACACATTAATTAATTCACTGGGGCCCTGAGCCCCGCTCCCGCACGTTCCTGTTAGTTTTCTAAAATAAGGTGAAGTTGGTTTTGTTCACAGTTATGTTATAAACTATCACAGGTTGAAATTGGTTTGGTAAATTGCTGTCGGATACCTTGCTACTCTACATCGTTTCAGGTTTTTAATACTTACGTTTTGCTGGTATAGGATATGCACAGAAATCTCATTTATGTTGGATCATACAAAGCTCTGCTGCCCATTAACTTGAGTTAATTACTTACACTTATTTGGCTTTCATCCATAGCATCATGTAGCATCCTTACCAAATTTTTTTTTAAACTGTATGATGCAGCTTTACCATTTTTGTGTGGATACATTTTAAATAGTAAGAGCAGAGTATATGCTCTGTTGCCCCTATGCCTATCAATTTGCATGTCACATTCTGACTTTGTACTTGGTATGATATAGGGAATGAGTCAGGACTAACAATATCAGTGTGTTCCTGATTGTAGACGAAGTAACACTGTCAGAAGGTGATTCAATGAACCAAATAGAGCCGACCTTTGTCTCGTCTACTATGAGGTCCATGTTCTGTTAATATGCTGTTGTTGCCTATTCTAAAATATTATGTGGTCCATACAGCCTTTTGTGTGCATGGTATATATGCAGGACTGTGCAAAAGTCTTAAAAAAGTATTTTAAGGTATTTATCTGGGTAGCAAGTGTATATTTGCACAGAAAAAAAACACATTTAACCTTAGCATATAATCAAGGGTAAACGATAAAAACTAAGAAGAATTGTTTCTGATCTTGTTGGATGGCTAGAAGAACACAGCTTCAGCTCCCAAACCTCTCCTCAAGGGGACCTTAGCCATTCCATTCAGCCATTCTTAATATAACTTAATCAGTAAAATAACTGAATGAGGTATTAATTATTCAAATAAAGTGTACCAGTGGTCGAGTGAAAAAAATACATTGGTGTATTGGATGGTTACTACACATTCTACGGTGACATTAGAAGGTTTTGAAATGATTAAGTTTTATAACAACATGAAGATCGTTTAAACATTTTCTTGGACTGCCTAAGACTTTTGCACAATACTGTATGTAATATTATGTTTGTGGCTAGTCATCCAAAATTACAGTTAGATTAATAAAACATTTTAAAGCTTCACTTTGGAGGAACAAGGAGGTAAACTCTCTTTCACTAATTATAATATTTATTGATTCACTTCCTGCAACAATTTATCAAATTGCGAATTCAAATAATTCACGCAACCCACTAAATCCCATAGACCAGAAGACTTTGGTAGTTCTACAGTCAAGGTCATGCTGGCTTAGAGAACCATTATTTTGAGTTTATTACTCTGGCAAAAATTTTATTAAGAATTTCCTCCTATTATACATTTCCTGTTTTGTGATGTTATCAGGACAAACTGCCTAAAAAACAGTTTTTATCCAAAAGCAATCATGGCCTTAAACTCAAAACAACTGATAATTTTTATATTTCATAAGTGCAATTTGTATATCCAGTGCAATTGTATAGTCAATGCAATTTTGTATATTTTGTAATATATTCTTTTATCACTCTTATGCCTCACATTGAGTCACCTGCACTTTCTCAATTTCGTTGTCAAGTGACAATGACAATAAAGATTATTCTTCTTATTATTATGTATACTTAATATACTATTTTGTGTACATTCATATTGTATGTTAGCTTAGTGTGCAGAAGTTTCTTCTCATATTTTCTAAACCCACTTTGAGGGAACTGTTCTTTGTTTCTTTGATCAAATGAATTCCTTTGTATTTCAATGTTATTTAGTTAATTGTGTGTGTGTGTGTGTGTGTGTGTGTGTTTGTGTGTATGTACGTACCTATTTCCCTGTTTAAACTACAGGAAGCAATGTGCCCATACATGATTTTATTTGGTTATGGTATAATTAAATGGAAATTATGTATATAGCACATTGCTTTCTGTAGTTACAACGTATTCCAATTGCTGTTATGTGTGGAATTTGTCTTTAGCTAGTCGGCAGTAAAATGCTTGTCATTTTTTAGTGCAGGCACTGTCCGTTCTAGACAAATATACCTTTTTCCTGCATGTAGTGTTTACACTAAACAATCACCATGACCATCACAAGAAAAAAAATTACACTGTCATATATGACATAAAAATTGCCAAAGCATTCAAACATGACATTATGTTAAAACTGATGTTGTAAAATAAATGGAAAGTTTATACTTTTGCCTGGCTAAAAGGTTTAAAAAAATGCAGCGTAAGGTCAAGAATATAGGTGTGATTGCGCATTATAACCCCAGACAAAACATGTGAGGTTATTTCCGTGCAACTTCATCATTGTGCTACAAACTTATGAAGCTCAAATTCCTCTTCCTGTGCACTTAGGAATCTGCCTGCTTTCTCTTTGGATTATGATCTGCAAAGAATTATTATGGTATTAGTCCATACATTATCCCACTTTTCTTAATGTTACAGAGGTTTTGCACTGGGTACTGGAGCCACACACACAAGAAAACAAAGATTTCACTTCCTTCAGCAGCTAGAACCTGTCCAACAGGTTCCCGCCTCGCTGGTGGGTGGGGACTCGCACAGTGTTTGCAGGGAGACAGCCAGGGTCAGACTCCCTGCTAATTGATCAACAGGACTTCAGCTTAGAAAAAAGGATTTACAAAGGGACAGGCTGTGGTTCTCCTCAGTGACATGTTGGTAAAGTGCTTTTCATACAGAGAACCACAAAGAGGGAACAAACCTGAGAGAAACAGGAAGACACCTGCCCTGTATAAAGAGCAGACTGTGGTAACCATGAGGTCCTGACTTTACACAAGCCAAGGATGCACCTCCTATGGGAGAGTGTGTCTGCCTGGACCATGCAGCCGTGGCCCTGGGTCCTGCTCATCCAGCACCAGCCAAGCATAGCAGAGCTCCAGTGACCTCATGCTGAGCTAATTGCCAATATGAGCTAATTGCCTCGACGCTATGCGATCAGGTAGGTGGCACCACTGAGGCAAGGACCTCAAGTTTCATCAGTACGAGGAATGACATGAGTCCATCTTTCAGATTTCACATTTACTAGGGCAGAAGGCAGGACAATATTTTGGCAAATTTCCATCTGTTATCGTAAAACACCAAACAGGCTTTAGCTCATCCTTCTGTGTCTCCGAGTCTTACTTCAGCATTTCCCAAGCCAAGCAGAATCACCCAGAGAACTAAAAGCAGGTGGTTTCTGACAGCTTACATATGTGTCTGTTTTTGTATGCAAGAGTATTACTTTTATAACACATAATTTATGGAAAGCAACTTAAATTTACAGTATATGCTGCATATGCTTTATATACACACACATACACACACACACAGAGTAGGAAAGAAATTCAGGTTGAGCCACCAGGAACAAACTTCCCACATTGCTTGACCACCAAGTACCAATCGCCCTTTCGTGAGGTCTAGGGGCAGAAGATCCCCACTTGGGTCCATTATTAAAAATGAAAACGGCACTAAAAAGCTTAAAATTTACCATGAGAAACGTGAGATTGCAGAGTCACAGAGTCAGCGAACACGTGAGGGAGGCTGCCTGCTGTAACAACGATGCGCAGTGTACCCAAGCCTAGATGCAGAGATCTCACAGTTGAGGCTGCCTGCTGTAACAACGATGCGCAGTGTACCCAAGCCTAGATGCAGAGATCTCACAGTTCTCTTTTTTCAAAAATAATTTTAATATTAAAGACATAATATGCACTTAAAGTAACAAATATTAAATAACACTACCATTAATATATTATATGATTTTATGTGATCCAAATCTTTTTCAGTATTGTTTATATATTTTTGGCTAGGGCTGGACGACATATCGATAATATATCATGATTATGACCATTCATATACTGTAGTTATTTTGAATATCGTGATCATCATTATATAGCCTAAACACTGGTTTTCTTGCTGACAGATGTAATGCATTATTTTTACACAAACTCCATCAAAGTATGAGTCTGTTGTGAGTCTGTTTATCATTATACCTGTCACATGCTCCATAATATTTAGTAAAATAATTTAGTCATCAGGTTCAGAAAAACTGAAAATCAGCTGTCACATTTTACTGCTGTCAACTTTCGAATTTTAGAATACTGTGATAATGCTGTTGGCGTTTTCTAGTGTTATACCCTATGACAAGAAGTTTACTTTTGCACAAATTATTTATTAAAATTAGATTTAAGTTTGCAGTCCTTTCAGTTGGTCACCTATTTCATGTTCCCAATCTGTTTAAGGGCAATTCTAAGGGAATTTTAAGCGAAAACTGAACACTGAAGTAAAGACATAATGACTTGAATTATAACATGAAAAAATGATCCTGAAGAAATGTGGCACCAAAATCGCCCAGCCCTATTTTTGGCTTACCTGTTGTCAAAAAATATTCCCATTTAATTGTTCATGGCCAACTCACGAATAACCAAAAGCAGGAATGTGGACAGGTGACTGTACTTGATTTGTCCTGAAGTGGCATTTATCTCGGTGTCTGTAGTGTTTTTGGGAAAGCTGGTGATGCACTGTGGAAAAAATCACTTCTGCTGAAAACAATTCATGACCAAAATGACCCAGCTATGGATCTGCAAAACCAAATACTTCATTCGTCTCTTAATGTCACTTTCTGTTGCAGATATTGAAGAAAATATTTAATTCCTTCCATAAATAGGTCCACAAATGGCATGTTCATGTAATTCTATTACAGGGATAAACTATGTTATGAGCAGAAGTCCATCATCAGTCAGGATAAGGACCATCTGCTACACCTCTTGGGATGAGCCTAGATGTGTTTCTGAACTTTGACCTTGGCTGGAGGTGGGGCATGCCAGAGTGGGGAGGAGAGAAGTCACTAGTTCATACTGAGCAGAGGGGTGGAGCTTCTCCGAGGACTGGGATTCAGAGGGCGGGTTTTGTGGCTCCCATTACTGATAGACACGGACCCTGGGGGACACCAGCATCTCACTTGGATGTGAAAGGCTGCAGCAGGGGGGTCCCCGAAGATGTCACCACTGAGTCATGGTGACTGGGGGAGTAGGAAGCGTGTGAAGTGGAAGACTGGGCTGGAGAAAAAGAGAAAGGGTTATGGTCTAACTGGCCATACGAAAACCCCACTGTACCACTTCCATCCACAGTCAACCTCTGGCAGAAAGGAAAAAGAGATATTTGCCTGATAACATGACAAAAGGTATCATTCATATTGTGAAGCCAGAGGATTTAAATTTTTTGCTCTTTGAGGACATCAGCAATGTCTGGATAAATGTTAGCATTCCCAGAAACCTGCCCAGCACATTAATTCTAGTTAGAAGATCATGTTGTGCAGCTTTTAAGTACTATTGCTAACAACCACCTGAAGGTCAGGGATATTGGCCATTGGCTTGCTAAACAGTCTGTTAGCCTAGCACCTCTTGGAGATTGTCCAAGCTCACAGAGCATCAGTGTCTAACGTGTCTGAAGTAAGCAATTCCACGCTATGTTAGATGAAATCCTGCTAGTTTTCATTTCTGCCTCAATCCCAATTACCCTTGATTGAGCTGCTTATTTTCAAACTCAGATGTGCTTCATCTGACAATAATTAGGTTTAACAAGAGAAATATCATCACATATTCCAGTAATATTTTTTGGCAAATTTGCAGTTAATCAGTGGGACACCCCAGAATACAAAGCCTGGAACTACCCCCTCATGGTCCAACACCCTTTAAGTTAATAACCTGGACAACAAACACCTTTGACTATCAGTTGTCTGTTAGCTAAAGGTGCAGCTTGTATGTGGAGAGTAACATGTCCACAGCAGCAATTGGTGAAGCTCACCTTTACGGCCACTCATCCTCATGTCTCTGGCCAGTCTGTCTGATGGTGTCTGCTCTGAAATTCGGACATCATGATCAGCTAAAAAAGATGCAGAAGAGAGCATAAGGTCTGAGAACTGATGGAAGAATTAAAGGCCACAAAATTGTTTTTCTTAAAATAGACGGGGGAGGGGTGGCAACAAATATTCCTGCAACATTACATTCTCCTTGTTGACGTTTAGTGAATTGTACTGATGTTACTTCATTGTGTATAATGTAGCTACTTTTGTACATTTTGTACATTTGTACCTCACTAGCATTGGCAATAACCAACACAAATTTACTGCAATGTTATTAGGGTTTTGTTCCCATGATGTACTCTGAAAAATGCATATAGAGTGTGAGAGATCCATGTTGTGATGTAATCACGATCATCTGCCACATGCTCAATAATAACCAAGGCTTTGTATGATGGGTGTAAACATTTATTTGGAAGCCAGCCTTTCAGTACTATAGAGACGTTTACTAAAGCCCACAATTTGGTAAGCAGATCAGTAGTACACCTAAAATATTCTGGAAAAGCATATTGTGACGCACAAAAGCTAAGTGTCTGTATAAATTCAGGGTATTCTCATGTTTATTAAACATGTCGGACTTATACTGCAGAGTACTGCTATACCACCAATGTCTTTTTAAACTTGTTTTTAGTCAATATCTCCTCTTTCAAAAGATGTTGTGGCAGTTGAGCTGTCCCTTTCTTCGCCACCACTTGTGTTCATATATCACTTCCGTGATTTACCAAAACAGTAATGCTTTCTGTGCTCTGTTAACTGAATTTAATAAACATAACGAGACAACAAATTTATACAGATTATTAACTTTTGGGCGTCACAATACACCTCTTATTAAAATTTTAGGTGTACTACTAATCTGCTTACCAAATTGTGATTCTTAGTAAACGTCTGTATAGTACTGAAAGGCTGGCATCCGGACTAATGCTTACGGTCATCATATAAAGCCCTGGTGATTACGTCGCATGCACCATATGATCACGATTATATCACAACAGCCCAATCTATGAGGATTAAAGACAGGACACTCTCCTGTGAGGCTCCAGCTTTGTTTTCCTGGACATGGTCACAAAATTTGACAATCAACTGATATCTTCCAAATGCCCCTAGCTAACTGAAAAATAAAGAGACAACCTCAGGGTTATGCTTGATCTTTCAGGTTCCCTCAGATGCTGTATAAATGGATCTGGAGACCCTGCAGTCCCATTTGCTGATCTAGACAATGCTCATCTCTTGCTTAGACTGCTACCTCCTAGCTGAATTGTTGGCATCCACCATCAGTTCTGTATCATTCACCAGGAACACTGCCTGATTGTTTTTGACTGTCTTAATTGTTCCACTCTACCCTGCCTTCCAAAAGACCATAAGAAACCTCAATGACATCACTTTGTACTTCAAAATGTAGACATCTGACTAATATCCAAGAACCATGCTCCTTGATTTGGATTCTCTATAGTAAAAAAACACATCCTCAGCACACACTTTTATAAAAATAAAAATTCAACAAATCTTAACTATACTAGTTTAGACCTGATCGCTTCATGCTTATACATCACTTTGTTCTCTGTGTTAAATTTAAAATCAGACTTTGGGTGGCTTCACCCTCTGGAAAAGACCAATGAAAAAAGCTTCAATGGAACCAGTTCTGGGAATGTAAGAGAATCATCAGTATTTATCCAGAAGTTGAAGTCGAATTATCTTCAATACACCAGTAAAATCTTATGCATTAAATGAGCAGAAGAAAAACTGCCCAAAACAGAGTATAGCAGACAAGGTCTATGTGCTAAGTTCTGCCAGAACTTGTTTACACCGACTTGTAAGGAACATTTTATTAAAAAAAAAAAAAGAAAAACAAACAATTTTAAGAGCAACGGTGAAACGTTTGGAGGCTTACTGTCAAAGCTGTGGATGGTCTCCACCATGGTATCATTGCCGCTGTCAGGCAAGGTCTCACTTTGCCTCCCCCCCCGATGGCTGTTCTTGGGCCCCTTCCGCGTGCTTAGCCGGATGATGCCATGGACAATCCGGCACTCAGCATCCTGCTCCTCCAGGTCGTGCTCCTGCTGGATGTCGCTGATGAGCTGGCTGATCTGGCTGGTGCGACTGAGGAAGACCGAGTCGGAAGTGCAGTGTGCCAGCTGCTCGATCTGGTGCTGAGTGTACAGCTCCAACAGCTTCTTGGAAATTAGTGAGTCAATGTCCATGCCGTCATCACTCCCACCGTCAGAGGGACTGTCCAGTGAGTAGGCGCTGAGCCGGCTTAGAGAAGGATGCTCACCCCGTGCCGGGTTTGAGGACTGCCTCTGTGGGGGGCTGGAGCCACGCGGCTGGATCTCCACCTTCTTTCCACCCAGACGGACGTCAGGATAACGGAAGCTGCTGTTTATCACTGCCTTGGGCTCCTGCAGGACCGGCAGACCCGATTCCAGATGGCCCTTCTTGGGCTCGATGGCACTGCCCTCGGGTGGCAGGCACGGTGCACGGGCACAGCGCCCACAAACTCTGGACAGGCCACAGGTCAACAAGCAGCACAACACAGTCCAACACCTTGGCCGGCCTGGTCCAGCGCAAGGCAGGCACACCTCCCAGCCCGGCAGTGACTCCACGGAGCCCGGAATGAAGTCAATGCTTTCAGGGCTGTGACCATTAGCATTCCTGGGGAGGGACTTCACAGCTAAAAACGCTCCAGTCTCATGATCCCCCGGATCCACACTGCGCTCTTGGAATTGGTTCTGACCCAATCTGCGGTCCCAATACTGCTTGGGACTATTGTTTTGTGTCCCCTGCCGCTGGCCTGCCTCATCACAGCCATGGGGTAGTTTGAGTGGGTGGAGTTCCTGGGGACCTCCTCTGCTGGATCCAGGCATGACTTAGCGAGTCCTGGGTCTGAAGAAAGATAAGAAAGGATAAGGTTAGGAAGCAGGCTGCAAAGACGAGAAAAGGAAGAGAAGAGAGAAGGATGGGGATGAAGGAGATGCACCGTCATGAAAGGCATCACATCTGTTATATTTGATCTGTATTCATATTAATTTAGCTCTGAAAACAGGTGTGACAAGGTACATTCTCTAAACTTCTTGTATCTGTATAATTGTAGCATGCTGAAAACACTATTGGACAGATTAAAAACAGAATGCATGTCTGCTGCATATGTAATTATGAAGTAAAAAAACCATCCTTACATAAAGTTTTCCTCAGAGATATGCAGGTATCAAAGAGAGCGTTACCAAATCAGATAAACATCATTAATATTTAATCTTTAATATTTAACCAAGTGTTACTTGGTTATAGTCTGATTTATATACGTAATATATGTAAAACAAAAAAAACCACTATTAGCTACACTTTCTTTCTGCAAGATAGACGATAATACGCAAGACAGCATGATGTATAAATTACATAATAAAGGACGCTCACCATTTACACCACTTGGGGAACAGTAGCCTACCTGTACCTGCGTGACACAAAAACACGAACAGCGGCCGCAGACATTAACCTGACTACCGGAAAGTCAAAGCGACGCCATGAAGCGGCATATTCTCCCGAGCTGTGCTAATACAGTAATGAAGAAAACACACAAAAGCCTTCATTTACTGTCCATCATTCCTCAAAAGCAGGCGACCGGCTGGCCTGTAGGACACTCGCGTCTGAATAATCGCGTCAATAGGGACCAAGCAAGTTATGTGCGTCGATCTGCTGGTATCGAAACCAGAAGCGAAGCTGCTTTATTTTAAGAGTGACTCGTACTGCGAGAAAAGCATTTTTAACAAAATTTCTCATTAAGAGCGAAATTAAGACTTTTTAAATACACTCCGGTGAATTTGGCGCTTTTACTTTCTGTTGCGTCTCTCGCGTCTACTGTCTTCGGCATGCTGTTCTTCGAAGTCTGACAGAATGCTCCTACATTTAATGAAAAATCATAATACAGAATTTTTTTCGTATCATACACATACCGAACTGACCGCACAGGACGTAGGACTTCAGGTCGTGGCGGATTTCTCTCCCTTTCCCTGCCGGAAGTTAAGGTCCTATTCCCACTGCTATTACTCCTTCGGCCGCCTTTCTGCGGTCTCTTTCAGGCAGCGTTCCTGCTTCACCTTCGCCCGCGTCCCGCCAGGGCTTCAGCTCTCCTTCCAAGCGGAGGCCAAGTGGGCACGAAGAGAGCCCCTTCTCCCCGATACGGCCGTCGACTTACCCGCAGCCCTACGCGTTACCTGCGGCTACAGGTACAGGTACCACCCCCGCCCACAGCTGCTCTGACGTCGCACTGCTGTTTACTGGCCGCTTCACCAGCCTCTTCTCGGGAATCATACTTGCTCAGCAGGGATGCGGAACCACTAGCGCTACCATAAAGAAGCGATTTTGTAGTCAGAGAACACTAAAGAATATGTATGTAGAACACTATAGAATGATGTATCTTTGGCTATAAACTATATTTATTCAAGACCTTGTTCCACCGCAGTAATTCGTCTGCATGGCATGAAGTGACAGGTGGCCAGTAGTAGAACTTGTCAATGAAATGGTGGGAAATTAAGTCCTTGACGATGTTAACTCAGTTGAAACCAGTTAAGTAACCAATTGAAGCTGATTTAAAAGACTATAATTTCTTCCAGTTGCAGGCTCAGTTGTCAGGAGTGTTTTCTATTTCTCTGGTTCATAATAATTAATACTGTACTTCTACATAAATCACATCATTTGTTCATATAGGCTTAACATAACAGATGTTTTGCAACCACTAGGCCCACTAAAGAGATTTCACGTTTTACAATTATGTATTTAGTATCATGAAGATTTTCGTCCCAATGGCTCTGTGCAGTTAACAGTAGGCCTACATAGCGATGGTGGAGTAATTTTCGCAAATAATTAACGGTTAATTTTTTAATTGCATGTATTGTATTATAACACAGTACTTACATCACAGCCCAAATCATGAATGGCGCAGATCCAGAGTATGGAGGACCACAGGTGTCACGGAAACACATCACAAAGCGTTTCATTAATCAATAACTAACTGTGCAACAAGAAGAGGAATTATAAAAAAGTTTTAAAATGAAATATTAATCCTTCAATAGACAATAAAAAAAAAATCAAATTACAATGTTTATTACTCTTGAACAACTTGGTTTAAATCCTGACTATCAAGAAATATTAACAGATCGCAAACCGATTCTAAATGTGCTACTATTACGGATAAAAAATGCTTTTACTGTAAAGTGTTTTTTCCAAAGTTACTGACCTACATTACGTTTGTTTTAAGCCCTTTACGGTTGGCGATACGATCGCTTTGTCGCCTTTGATTTTCCCGCAGCCCGTCTTTTGATCTTTTTTCTTCTGCTTTTCATTTCTGACTTAATATCCTACACTTAGAAAGTAATTCCCCTCGCTTGTGCCACGCTGTCCTTGTGTGTTATATAATAAATAAAATGAAATTATTTATTAATTTATTAATTGACTATTAATATCTGTTATTTCCACATTTTTCGTATTATGTGACTACTGCAATTATAATGCTGTGCCATAAAAATTGTTTGTAGCCCTTTTTGAGTACAAGCCACTGTTGTTTCTTGTAATGTTAAAATGTTTTGAATAAAGGGATGTATGTGGGTTTGATTGGGATTAATTGTTTTGTTTATTTTGATATTTTATTGGGCATTGAGAATCGTGGAATTTCACTGGTATTGGTATCGACTACTAAATTTCTGGCATCGTGACATCCCCTGTAGTAACAGCACTGGAAAGGCCAACAGGACCTCAATTTAAGCCTCGATAAAAAAAATAGTGGCAGCTCGCCACTATTAAGTAGACGATTTGGGCGTCGATTTAGAGTTAATTTACAGTGGTACCTCAGTTCTCGAACTCATTGGAACTCGAATTTCTTAAAAGTCGAACCAACCAGAACTACCTATAGAACTCGATCTGAATCTCAGAAGTCAAACCTTGAACGCCGACCTAAGATAACTTGTACGCGCAGCACGTCTCTCAGCTGAAACAAAGGGTAAAGCTTCAGTCTCAGCCTCGCTTTTGCTGTGATAGCATCGTGCATGTTTACACTAGCTGAATACAAATATTTAGACAAAATACATTTAGACAATGATAGACAGTAAGAGTAATTATTATTATATAATAAAATACATTTTAAAATAAATATTTCTTATTAATTATTTTAATATTAATAATAAACCATTAATACATAATTATAATAATATTGTCGTGCTGAGCGGGGACGGAACAGAGACATAGGCGCAGACGTCAGGGTATCGGGAATACAGGGTTTAATTACAAGCAAGGCAGGCAAAACGCAGACGGACAATGCAATGACCGAAATGGGGAAACAAACTGAAACGCATACTAAATACAGAGGACTAATAACAACAACCAGAAACAGCGAATCACACGGGGATTCCACACTGAGTTAACAAGGGGGCGTGCACGCGGAAGGAGCGGACGATTGGGGCAGGACACATTGTTTTTTTAACTTTACACATTGTTTGGATACATTTATTTTCTTACTTTACAAAATACTGTTTTGATAAATGTTCTTAGATGTGTTTAGTACAGTATATGCTCTTCTTGTTTTATCCGTGTTTAAATGCTAAAAAAAAAACATATTTAGGTGTAATTTTTGGGGACCGGGAACCAATTAATTGGTTTTCCATTATTTCTTATGAGGAAAATTCGATTACAACTCGAACTTTTTAGGATTCGATCCAGAGTTCCGAACGGATTAAATTCGAGTTCTGAGGTACCATTGTATATGTTAATAATATTATTTAAAGGTGGAGCTGTAAAACCCTTAAGCTGCGCACAATTTCAAGATTTCACATCTGGGAGCATGGTGTACGCACGTTTTAGGTGCGTACGTTAATTTCCTCGGAATCACACATTTCATAAATTACCTTAGATCAAATGTAGGATGGTTTCTAAGCAATGTTTTAAATATACATATAAATGAGGCCCAAGTAAAGGGGGAGCGGGTTACTCCGATCTCCTGTCGCCTTTCTTAAAGACATCCCAGTATCACACTGAGAACAAGTGGATTTTGATTCAGGGGACACAAACCCAGGCTGGTCCTCACCTGCTGCTGAATATCAAAGGGAGTCCCGGCACCTGTTTTCCACACTTCAAGCACTGCACATACCCATTGACTAAATCCTTTGCTTAATCAATTTCAGTACAATCCCTTAGGATGGAGTGGCTCTCAAGGACATACCATCATCTGCTGTCCGTAAGTAGCTGGAAAACACGCTACTGAACACAATTTACAAATTCACCTGAGATCTTTAGCTCAGTACGTATCTCAGATAAGTATGTATTCAATTTTTTCTACTAAATAATTTCAGACTGTTGAAAATTCCACTTCCCTGTGATACTTAGTTTGTACTCTGTATAGAAAGAATAAAGGAATTGTCTGATGACAAGCAAAATGAGTGCACGACACCAGGCTGACGATTGTACCTCATTGTACGCTTAATTTTTTCTGATGGAAAAATTTAACGTATTTCTAGACATAGTTTTCAACTGTTGTTTATAAGTGACTTCTATTAGCCATCAGACATTAAGCCTTTATTCAATAAAACAATGCCTTGATTAGTTAAAATGCATGACTAGAATTGTGCTGCAAAGCATTACTTATTTTGTAATAAATGTTTATTGGTTTTGTAAATACAGATCACCTCCATACAGCCCATAGATCTCACCGTACAGGCAGAACCCATAAGACCAAGGTCATAATTATGTTTTACACGTATCTAATGCTTTTATCCAAAGTAATTTAAAGTTTATATGTGCTCCCTGGGATTTGAACCTACAACCTTGACATGAGTAGCTCAGTGCTGTACTTGTTAAGCTGTTTTGTTCTATAGTGTAGCAGAGTGCATCAGTACAGTATTACTGGATATGGATCAACACAGAGTGCACTCATACACAGGACAGTGTGACACAGAATGCTGACATCCAGAGAGACGCCATCAGCTGGACCATCCACTCTGTCCCTAAGCAACAGCCACACCACCTATATGCACAGTGGCAATGCATGAGTAACTGGAATATGGGCCAAGTGCACAGCCCACTTCCCTCAGCAGTCTTACCTAAGACACCAGGACAGCAGAGGTAGATGGGCAAAGTTGCCCTTCTGATTAGACCCAGACCAGAAATATTCAGCTATGTGAGCAGTTACTTGAAAGCAGAAAAAAAATGCAGCAAACTGCACTTCCTGCCATTAATACATGTAGACACAGAGGTGACGTTTCACTGGCTTTGCTTCTACATCTCTATTATCTACTTGGAAAGCAAGCCTCCAGTGCTATCAGGCAGTGCACACTGACAACTGGAACATAAATGATGAAGACACCTTCATTAGTTAAGACCTGATGTACATCGTGATATGTATGCTAAGTGAAAAAGTGACTCATCTACTAAATATTCTAAATTGACCATCAGAGATAAACCTTACCTATACAGCTATACATATATTATTAAAAAGCCTATGAAAAAATGCATTATACGAGCAATAAAAGGCTTGTTTAGCAAATGTGGGTCGTCTGCTTAGAGGATATACGTGACCTCAGTATTAGCATGGACATTTCCTAGCAGTCTCACACTTCAATCTCTTCTAAATGGAGAGGATAATATTTCTGGATCTCTCTGAAGCTACGGGGAACCTCAGAAACTGTTAGCTACTTCCAATGAGATGATACGCAGCCTTTGCTGGTGACGCCATTGAGAATGGGCTTGACCCACAATAACACAGAGGAATTTTCTCACGTGTAATAGTACAGCAATTGATTAAACTCCTAGATGTCCTAAGATATCTTGGAACCAAAGCAAATTCATCCAGAAAGCAGAACACTTTTCACGTTAGTTTGCAATACATGCTAATGATGTGCTGTTATTTGTAAAAGTCATTCAAACGTCACACTAAAAACAAAACCAAACAGCAATGCAACATTTCCATCAATGAGGTTCATGACATGCCAGGCTGGTGTTCACCTTTAAGTCAATGATAAACAAAATGAAGGAAGACTTTAGATTTAAATGCTAAGGGAAGATTTCAAACAAGTCATTACAAGAAAATTAATCTCACTCATACTGATAAATAGTGAACAATCAGTTCAGGCAATCAGTTAATGAAGAGCCAGAGAAGACTCTTCTACCCTGTCAGCAGATCCTGTGAAGATACTTAAATGGGTTCAGGAACCCATCAGACACAAACAGTAAGAACCGAGAATGGAAGATCACATTAAAAAAAAGAAACACGTGCTGTATCCCATCATGCAGCCAATCACATGCGAGTACTTATTTCGTTCTAAAAGTGAAATTGCATTTTTTTTGTGTATTAATCCCTGGGATCTTTTTGGGAGTGTTTCTTTGAGAGGATGTCAGTGTCCTGTTTCATCCTTATTTGACATTTGGCTCACTCTGGAACATACAAGAAGGTCCGATCCAGCCTTCAAAGTCTTACTGGAATCCCATGGATGTTCTGCTGCATGCGGAAGGTTCTAGGTCCACATTCTGCCATTACTGTGGTAACAACAGGGCTGCCCAGAATAACACCCTTTTGCATAAGGGAAGTTCTCTGTAGATAACACCTCAGAAAAGCAGGTGGCCACTTTTAGATCAAAGAAAAATATAATAAATTTGACATTTGCTCCCAAAAAATATTTCTGGTAATTTCTTCTATTGCAAACAAGGCATCATCTTGGATTAGTTTCCTTTCATTGTGGTGTGCGCATGCCCCACTCTATGTACTGTACAGTGAATCCCTCTGTGGCACCAAAGATGGACCGAGTCAGATTAGTCGGTGAAGACCTCAGAAGCATGAGATGCGAAGCACTGTGTTGAAGGCCAAGGTGAAACACCCCATTTTTGCGGAGAACGTTCCTGTGCTGGCATGGGGTAGGGCAGTGAGACTAATGTCACATCTCTTCCTGCTACTCTAAGTACACCACATCACACACTATTAAAATGCACCCTACAAAGAAAAAGAAACACACTGGCTCCTTCCCTCCTCTTCCTTGTCATCTTCATCACTGGAGGTTTGTGTTGTGTCTCTCTGACTCCCCCGTTCACCTTGTCACACAGCTCCGGTGCCCATCCCTCCTCCCGCCCCTCCCCACCCTTCCGGCTGTCTTTCGGTCACCGTGTGTTAAGGGCTAACCCCACTGTGAGGAAGACCCCGGTCAGCAACAGGAATGGCAGCCAAGTCTTCAGAAAGCCTGCACAGCTGAGGAGAGGGATGTGAAGAGAGGGATGTGAAGAGAGGGATGCATTATCTCACTGCACAGATTGGAGAAGAGCTACAATCACTCATTGTACTGATGTGAAGAGCAAGAAAAATTAGTTCATTGTGCAGATGCAGTGAGAGCAGTGTGCTAATGCTTTGTACTAATGTGCA